GTCCCCGGTCCCAGGTGTGCGGGGGGGCTGGGTGCATTTCCGATGACCAGCGCCTTTGTGCTCGCTGGTCACTTGCTTGGCGGAATCTCTGGACGGGAGATTCCTCTTGTACTTGCAGGTGGGTCACCTGGCCTGGGTGACGAGTGGTCACGCCCAGCAGGTATGGCGGAGCGCTTTCTCGGCAGGCTGCAGGTCTCTGCGTGCTGTCTCCTCACTCTCTCCATCGTGCTCTCTGGAGCACAAGAGCTCTCGCCCGGCCGTCTCAGCTTACCTGTTGCTTTTCCCTTGGTGTCCTGTCACGAACTGTAGATTTATGTTATGTGAAGTTTCACTGTCAATGCTTTAATGTTGCAAACTGCAGAATGGGAGAAAATATTTGTAAATCACATGTCCAATAATGACTCATCTGATTAATGTCCAGAAATCATCCAACTTGGCCTTCCCCGGCGGTGCCGGGCTTATGTCTCAGGCTATCAATCTACCTGCAGCTGCTGCAGCATGAGTTCGATCCCCAGCCAAGGGGGTGGCCCCCAGGGCGCGGCAGTCCTGTCCTGACCCGCGCTGCCCCCTCACGGTGGACTTTGTTCTGCTCCCTGTTCTATCTCTGGGGAATCCTCTCAACCCCCACATTTCTGACTTGTACCCCAGTTCTGTAAGCATAAATAAGTCAATCTTTTTTTTAAAAAAGCTTGATAGGGATTGAACTGAGTCCATAGATCATTCTGCGCCGTCTGGACTTCTCAGCCACGTGACTCCTGTTCACGAACAGGGCGTATCTTTCCGCTTGTGTCTTCCTCAGTTCCTTTGTTCAGTATCACCATTACCATCTTACAGATCTTTCTCCTCCTTGGTTCAACTTTTTAAAAAGATTTATTTATTTGACACAGATAAGAAATAGGCCAGAGGTTTGAGGGGCGAGAGGCTTCCCAGAGACAGAGAGGGGAGCAGAACAGGCAGATCCAGTGAAAAACTGCTGCGGGGCACAGCGGGGAGACAGGAGCTGACCCTGTTTGATTGCCTGGCCGAGGGTTGAACTCGTGTTGCAGTAGCTGCAGGCAGCATCATGGTGCTGTGCGTTAACCCTTGTGCCCCTGGGGAGGGCCCGGACAGAGCAATTTTAGAAATTTGTGTAAGGTCCTGTTGAAGGTGGCCTTCCTGGCACTTGCTGACGTGCTTTGGGGGGCTGCATGTGCACATGAAGACAGATGTGGCGGGTTTGGGTCCAGGCAGGGGAGAGAGGCAGGGGCCTTTGCCCCAAGCAGAGTGAGAGCTATAGCAGGTGCCCTGGGGTGGCGAGGAGGAAGGCGGCTCCCCGCCCCGTCCCGCGTAGGCCCGGCTCTGTCGGCAGGGCTGGTCTCGCTGTGGGAACGAAGCCGCTGCGGTCGGGCAGTCGGGCAGACCCTCTCCCACGAAGGTGCGCCGGGCTGGCCGCCCAGGGGCCCACGGGGAGGCGGCGAGAAGAGCCTTAGTGTCCCTGTGGGGGCAGCACTCTGAAATGGCGTGGGGGGGTCCAGTGGCAGGAACGGAGAACAGACACCTCGGGCCGGAAGCTGAAGCTCAGGGCCGCTCCCGGGAAGACTTGCTCTCTCAGCTGCCCTGCGACGCGCTGGTCGGGAGGCCGAGGCGAGGCAGCGGTTCTGCACGCACAGGCTGCTTCCTGTTCCCGGGCCAGGGGAGCGGTTACTTTCCAAACTTGGCTGCACTTTTAAAAATACACTTTGTAGGCCACACCCCCTGCGTGCTCCAGGACGCCTGAGTCAGGCGGAAGCGGGCTGTATTTTTAGCCACCAGGCTGTGTATATCCTCCTTTTAATAATTGTTGGATAACTTGAGACTTGCGCCAAGTGCGGAACAAATAGCTGGTTTCCAGAGCCGTTTCAGTGTGGGGCCCAGCAGCGGCCACGAGCAGTCCCAGGCCGCTCGCTGCGCATCGCCACAACCTCCCAGGACATCGCTGGGCACCGTGACACCCGGCCCTGCCCTTCCATTCGGCTCTTGCCGCAACACGATCTAGACGCCTTCATCTTCTTACTTCCTGGCGTCTACTCCGTCTTGCTTGGGCTCGCGGTTTCTCGAGCTCCAGGTCAGTTATCCCCTTGAACATCCGTCGTTGCTTCCTGCTTACACCCAGCTCCTTCGGCAGGAGCAGGGCGGCAGCCATCGGGCGCGGAGCGATGGCGCGTTACCTCCGATGCAGCTTGACTGGAGTCTTTTTTTTAATCTAAGGGTCGAGTCCCGACTGACATCTAACGCCGTACACGTTCAAGGCGCACGCCGCTGACCCAACGCGCTTCCGCGTCAGCAGTGGCCACCGCGTCGTACCCCGGCGTGGCGAGGTGGTCACGCGGCCTCCCATCCTCCCTGAGTCGGAACAGCTAAGCGCTGCCTCTCACAGGCCGGCAGTGCGGTGACCCTGGGCGGTGCTCACCGCGCTGGGGGGGGGGGACTCTCGCCCCAGCCCTCCCCACGCCTGCCCGTCCTCCACCCTGCTTCTGTTTCTTCCTTGTTCTTTTCTCTTTTTTAAAAAAACATTTATTTATGCATACAAGAACTGGGGTACAGGCCACAGGTGTAGGGGTAAGAGGACGCCCCAGAGACAGAGCGGAGCAGGACAGATGGGTCCACTGAAACCCACTGCTGAGGGGAGCAGTGGGGAGACAGGAGGGGCCTGCTGCACCCGGGGGCCCCTCCCTGGCCGGGGTAGCCTGGTGATAGCCTGATAGTCCTGTGGCTCAGCCTGGCGCCCCCAGCGAGAGCCTTCCTTCCTACTGTTTCTGTGGGTGAGTGAGTCCTCTGCTTCAGAGGGGGAAGGAGAGACCTGGCAATGCCTGGATAGCCGAGGGTTAGGCATTTTTAGGGGCGACGCCATGACCACCGGAGGGTTTCCCAGGGCGAGGTATCTGAGCCTGCCATCCCCTGGTGGGAAACCCCACTGCTCAGTTGGTAGCATGGGGCGTCTGCATTCATGTTCTTTCCTGAAATTTTTTTATTTGATTGATGCTACTTGAAGAGTTTGATCTGTTATGAATAATTCAGATGAATCCTGCATCAGCTTGCCAGGTAGCAGACAAGCAGCCTCCATCTTTCCTTTAAAAAAGCAGCCTTAATGCAGTTACACACAGAAGGTATAAGGAATGGTATCACCTGGAACACAATAGCTGGACTTGTGAGGCACATGACTTCAAATCAGATTATTTTACAGGTAACATATATAATATGTACAGCAGTATAATGTAGGTCTCTGCCCACCCAGTTCGAGAACTAAGCCATTGCTCAGTCAACTCAATGCCTTGTGTTTTTTCCCTGAGCTTTGGTCTTTTTCTGAGTTTGTACAGAACAGATTGACGCCACCTCCCTCGACAGTGGCAAAATTTTAGGTTTTTGAGGCAACCGCGTCCTGACGGGGCCGCAGGGATGGTTTCCTGGAGGAGCTAGCTGGCGTATTCTGCTGGCTGCTGGTCACATTTGGAATTGCAGCTGCCCCTGTGTTACTGGGACTGTCTCTTGGAAGTTTATTTTCATATTTACAGTATTTTGAAATGTAAAATCAGATTTTTTGAGTTGGATGTATTATAGTTTACATTTACAAGTCTTCTTGTTCTACAAGTGGCCACCACATTCTGGGGAGCACTCAATAAGTGCCAGCTGCTCACATTTATACTTTTTCAGCTTTTTTTTTAATAGTTTGTATGTGTGTGTGTGTGTTATGTGCATGCTTGTGTGTACTTGGGATTCTTTTTTTAGTAATTCCGAAAATTAATGGCTAATATATGACATCTACTTATGTAGTTGTTCACATGAAAAATGAATTATCTTGATGGGAAATCATTCCAGTGCTTTTAATTACACTTCATGAAATAGGAAGTATCTTTATTACTCTATAAACGAAGGAAACCTAGTAAAATAAACAGTATTTGCCATCCACTCATATCTGCTTGGTGAACATGTTACTTCCCAGCAAATCTCACATTGCAATGTCCTGTGTAAAATGTAGCAAACAGTAAACATCTACTATGCTCTTCAGGACTTTGAATTTGTTCATGAAGAATAGATTGTGTGTGAAATTTCATCTCTAAAAATTCACAAATTACTGAATTACAAGAACTGAAGAACTAACTTTTGCAGTGAAGAAACTTAACAGCCACCTTAGCCAAGTGACTTAACATCACAGTGAGACAAACCAAAGCTCATGCCTGGGAGGTAACTATGGGAGGGATTACCCTCCTTGCTTGAGGAAGCTATCCTTTCCCCCCAGGGAGCAGCAGACCCCTCCTGTCTTTAGCTGCTCCCCTCAGCAGTGTATCTCAATAGATCCAACCCCCTGTTCTGCTCCCCACCCTGTCTGTGGTGAATCCTCTCACCCCCTGTACCTCTGGCTGCATCCCAGTTCTTGTATGCATCAGTGAATCTTAAAAAAGAAAGAACACAATCAGAATCTAACCATGAGGAAAGCGTCTCGGACAAACTCAAATTGGAATATTCTACAAAACAGCTAATTTGCATTATCCCAACATACTAGGATTGTTACAGGGTAGCCCAAGTCCGAATAGTTCCCTTAGGACATGCTTCCCCTTAACAGGATCATGAAAGACACAGAAACTGGGAAGTTGTTGCAAAGGAAAGGATACAAAAAATGTGTCCACTAGCTGTAACATGTGGTCTGGACGGGACTGGGAGAAATAGCTACAAAGTATTTTTAGGGCAGATCTTTATCTCCCTATCTTGAAAATGAAACAAATGAAGCAAAAAAGGGAAACAGTTGGTGACTACGGAGGTGTGACGAGAGCGTTTTTTACAATTCGTGCCGGTTCTCATCATTTGAAATGATATATTAAAAAGTGACTCCTCAAAGTGCTCTCAAAGTAACAAGTTCCTTGAGAACAAAGAATCGGTCTCCTTAAAAATAATTTATTTTTCCCTCATAAATCAATGTATGTAAACTTAGAAAGTAACGAAGTGTAGAAAAGTGAAAACTGCCAACCAGCTGACCACCCTTGCAGGTCCAGGGCACCAGGACGGGAGAAGAGCCCGTGGAGGCTGGACGCGTCCTGTGGGCGGCCGAACACCAGAGCCTACAAGGTGGGCACCTGGCCTCCAGGAAAGCGAGGACGCTGGTGGGCGTTAAGGTCAGACACAGGTGGACAGTCCAGCGGACAGGGTGGGCAGGGTTTCCCAGGGGGCGGCAGTGGGCGGGGCGGTCCAGCTCCTCTGCTGGTTTCGTGGGCTGGTGTCTGCGGCCAGTGGGGGTAGAGGCACCTCAGCAAGGCCCCAGGGCCCTCCCTCCTCTAGTACCCATGGGGTGCCCGCCCTGTCTGCCACCTCTGAGCCCCCAGAGGCGGAGAGGAGCTCCTTTGCCCCGGCAGCTGGTGTTGGGCCTCAGTCCTTCCGCTCACGCTGCGTCATTTCCGGTCGCCGGCTGAGGTCGCCCCCTGCGCCGCCAGCGGGCTGGGCCTGCCCTGGAGAGGTTCCTTTTGGGTCCCCCTCTTCCAGTCTGACCGCTTTCGATAGCCAAAGGGCTCTTAGGTGTTGCAGGGGTGCTGGTGTGAGGGGAGGCAAAAGGGGTTAACTTCTGTTCAGGAGCAACAGATCGATCGCCTTCAAATCCGCAGAGGGCGCAGCGGGTGCCTAGAGCGCCCTGTGGCCCCTCTGGCGCAGGCGCAGTGCTGCCCTGCCCCGAGCCGGCCCCCGGATCCAGCGCTCCGGGCTTTCCATGCAGCCAAGCCGGAGCCGCGGGGGCGGGCGGGGGCGGGCAGGTGAGCCCAGTCGTTGATTGGTCCGGAGGGACCTGCGGGAGCCGCTCCAGCCCCCGGGGCGGCTGGGGAGCCCCATTCATTCCTGCTAGCGCTGAATGGCGCGATCCCTTCGGGCTGGGGAGCGAGCTGCGTGGGTGCCGGCGCCTGGTGCCGGTCTGGGCCCCTGACCTGCGGGGACCCACGGCTTGGCTGGCGCTGTGCAGTGTCCCGCCTGTGGCCCTGCAGGCCTGTCACCTGTGCGCTGGCCGCGGGGGTGTGCCCAGGCGGCCTCCTGGGGCCGCCTGCTCCCAGAGCTGCGAGGAGTGCCGGGGTGGCCCTGCCTCCCTGCACGCCATCCCTTTTGTCTGTGGGGGCTCACGCGGTGGAGCGAGCTTTGCCCCTCTTAGCTTGTAGGTCTCCGGGCCTTTGACGGGGGCCTGTGGTGTGGTCCTGCACTGCCGACACCCCGACCTGACTGAATTATTGCTGGGCGCAGGGAGTAGTAAGCCAAACCCAGAAGTTTGACTCCAGACCTAAAGCAACCTTCCCCAACCGACATATTAGTCATGAACTCCACGTGTAAATAGCCGTCGTTTCATTCCTGTGTTTCATCTTTCAGCTCCACCCCAGAGGAAAAAGAAGTGCTGTTGCTTAGTCACTTTAGTGAGGACCGTCTGCTTTGTAAGGTCACAGTGAGTGAATGGTCTGAGAAATGTGCACAGGCACGTGGGCACCGCCGGCCAGGCAGATGGTAGTTCCCACGGGCTGTGACTTTGAGAGGACCGCTGTGAGTAGATGCCCTGCCCAAGTGTCCGGCCAGTAAGTAAGGGTAGCTGCATGAATCTGATCTCTGGGCGCGGGGACTTGACCCTCCCGGTGAGACGCAGCACAGTGGACAGGCGTCCGCGGACTGCAGGGCAGAAGAGGTCTTACAGCATGGGGACACCAGAGCCCTCCAATTCTGCTGGGAGCCAGAATCCCAAGAAGAGGTGGGCTTTGCACAGAGCGTCGCTGATGTCACCCGAGCAGAACACTTCGGCCAGGACAGCGGGCAGAAACGTGGATTGTCCCTAGGAAGACAGCCGATGAGGTCACCCCCTCCCAGAGCCACACAGGGGCGCATTCAGGCCTGTCTCAGTGCTTTCTCGGACTTGGCTTCATTTAATCCTGACAATGATGCTGTGATGCGATCCTCGCTGGCCGCCGTGAGCCGCCAGGGTTAGCGAGGCAGCAGGCGGGCCCAGCTGTGCGCTGACTCCGGCTGGAGCGTAGCTGTCCGCACCCCTCCCTCGGAGGGCTTCGGCCCTCTCTGAGGTTCCATCAGGTGTTTCAGAGAAGCGTCCTCCAGGGTGGACCCAGGCTGCGGGGGCAGCGCCGAGCCCTGGCCACTGGACCACCATGGTTGGTGTCTCCGGACATCGACACCGCAGCAGGAACTTCGCAGACGCTCAGGCAGGCAGGCGAGAAGAGGCAGGTTTGTTTAGAGAAAGGAAAGTTGATGGACGAGACAGGGAACAGAAAGCGGGACTCGGCCGGACTGTGAGACCAGGCGGCACAGGCTGAGGAGGCCAGGCGAGGCGTGCAGGGAGTGGGGCCCTTCTTGCCCCGACTGTCAACTGTCCTAAAGCCCCCCCCCCCGTGGGGGCCTTGCCCTTGTCTCATGCGCCATCTTGGTGTCCCCCTGTGCCCAGCGGTAAGTCTCTGTGTCCGGCCTTTATCCTGGAATCCTTTTTCTCTATAACCCGTATTCCAGAAGGTCCTGCTGCCCCCAGTCCTGGGGTGTTTGTCCCCCTTGGAACTTGTCGCCCTTCCCTCTGGGGCCCTCTTCATGCTTCTGAGGCTCCTGCACAGCCTCGGAGCTGCCTCATCATCCCCAACTTGTCTTGGGGCTCACGGGGGCCTGAGGTTAGTGTGCGGTTGGGCCTCGTGGTTTTGGTGGTTCCTTCCAGCCCAACTGTACCTGCAGACTCTGAGACAGGCTTTGGTATATTTTGAATTCCTGATGGGGGTTGGGGGGCTCGGGGGTACTTGCAAGATGTTAATGCTCTCAAAGGAGGCACTGGTCAGGGCATCCCACTTGATGGCTGCGGGACTTCAAGTCTGACACTCTCAGAGACTCAGCGTTTCTAAAAATGTGGAATAGCTTCCTCTCCCTGTCCCTTCACACTCAGCTTTTCTGGGACAACAAAATACATTACTACAAGCAGGCACATTGCAAACAGAGAAACATCGCACAAAAATAGCAACTTCCCTTTTGCCAGCATTCAGTCTTACTTTCCAAAGTCCATTTATGGAGGCGATAAGGCAGAGAAGGACCATGGAAAGAGCCAGGTCATGCAGCCGGACAGGTGCATTTGAATCCCTGAATAGCACTGGGCCCCCCGGGGGCCCCAGCCAAGTGGTGTGTCTTGTCTGGACCTCAGCTCTAAGAATAGTCACCTTCTGTGGGCCTTAAGAAGACACGTGAGCTAAAGTGGAGCTCTCTTTCTGGCACACAGATCTCCAAAGAAACATTTGTTTAACATTTGTTTTCTGCATTGTAGAGCCTTCAACCTGCACCCCGAAGTCCTGGAGCAACACCCTGGTGGCCATTGTGGGGTGACCTGAGGTTTTGCCCCACAGCATCTCCATTGAAAACCTTTCCTGCCTGCGGCCACAAACCGGCTCTGCCTGTTAGGGCCTAGAACCGCGTTCACTTTTTGACTCATCTCTACTCCTTGGAAAGGGAGTCAACAAAAGCTTGATTGGTTTTCCACTGCTCCTAGGCAGGAGAAGGGTTAGCATATTATTATTTTATAAAAACATGAATAATAAAATATGCCATAAAACAGCACGGGCACACAGCAGTCAATAAATGTTTGCTGATTTGAAGAAAAGCGAGGCGGCGACCTTTCTCCTTCTGCTGTGTCTGCGAAACAGCTGCTCAGCCCTCTGCCACGTGGTGGGCTTTTTCAAGTTAAAAAGGAAATTCACAGAAGTCCGCAACAGAGAGGGGTTGCTGGTCCTCTGCTCTCCTCCTAGCCTTCCCAGGAGGCGTCGTTGTTTGCAATTCCTTGTGTATCATTCTTTTCCCATTGCATGTATGTAAGTCCTTCTTAAGTTATTGCTTTATTTCTTTTTTTTAGATTTTACTTATTTATGCATAAAGAACTGGGGTACAGACCAGAGGTGCAGGGACAGTGAATTCACCAGAGACAGCAGGGAGCAGGACAGGCAGATCTACTCAAGTCACTGCGGAGAGGAGCTGCAGGGAGACAGGAGGGGTCTGCTGGGCCCCGTGGGTCACCTCTGGGCAGGGATAGAGCTGGCACTGGAGCTGTGGAGGCAGCTTCTCGCTGCTGAGCTCCAGCCCACTACCCCACCAGGGAGCGCCCCCCACACAGAGGCTGCAAATCTTCAAGTGGATTCCGCACCTAGATGCTGGGTTCCCTGGCCCTGGGACTTCGGACATTTGTCCCACAGGGGATGCTGGTGGGGGCCTGTGCTGTGAATGGATTGCTGGGGGCCAGGCTGGGCGTATCCCCAGGGAGACCAGGCACTCTGCAGTCAGCTCGGCTCTCTGTGCCTTTCCAGCTCACTCTTCCAGCCTTTTCAAGTTTGGGTGTAGCCTGCACCCCCCTCGCCTCCCCCCCACCCCCCGCGGAGAGGGGCAGGCCCACCTAGAGGAACTGGGAGGTGCTTCTGTCAGTTTCCCAGCCTGTGAGAGGGAGAGTTTATACTCCTTTTGAGAATGGAGTATACCCCTGCTGCTTGGTCTTGGACCAGAGTCCCAGCCAGGTCCGGCTTAGGGGTGTGATGCCACAGGGGTGCTGAAGGGCCCTGCTGGAGGGCCAGAGCCTGCAGCCAGGCCTGCTAGCCCCGGGGACTAGAGGGCCCGGGAGCAAAACCTCTTTGTTCCCCTGGGGGCCCTCAGGCGTCTGCTCACCGGCCCCCAGCCGTCTCCCAGCCTCCCCTCCCTCCGCTTTCCCTCTCCCTTCCCTCCCGTTCCGGGTCTTCCTCCCTCCCCGCCCCAGCGGCGGCTCTTCCAAAACCCGGAGCGGATCCACCGCCCGGGGCCCGGGCCCGCGCATGCGCAGTAGCGGGACCGGCCGGCCGCCTGTCGAAAGCTCCAGGTTTGAGCCGGGGAAGCGGCCGCAGAGGCTGCCTCGCCCCGCCGCCCGCCAGGCCCGGGCCGCCGACCGCGTAAGTGCCAGGTGGGCTCTCCACAGTTTCGGGCCGGCGGCGGGAGGGCGCTCCGGTGTGCCCGC